TTAATAATATATAGCGTGAGGCGTACGCCTCATGCCAGTGAGGCGAGGCAGGCCTCAACCAAGTTGAGGCGCAAGCCTCATAAAAAAAACTCGAGGCGTAAGCATCAAGGCATTTTTTACTGGAATTGTGCAAAGGCGAACCTCAACGAGAGCCTCATATTGCGCAATTTTAAACCATGGTCACTGGTAAGTTTTTGTATGGAGATTAGGTTTATAGATAATTGAGGTACATGAAGCAATTTTTTTTGAGTGAGTGAGAAAGAGAGAGAGAGAGAGAGAGAGAGAGAGAGAGAGAGAGAGAGAGATAAGGGTATGTCTCCTTGGCCTACTACTGTGATAAGAGAACCATTAGAAGTAATTATTTTATAATCACACAGGCAGGGAGTGTAGTTGATGAAGTGAGTAATAGAGTGTATCATATGATTTGTGGTTCTTGAGTCAATGATTCATACACCTTTCAAATGCTTTATAGAGACGCTTAATCCGATGGATATAGAAAACTTATTTGAAAGTAAAAAAGAAGAAGATGTAGGTGATTTTTCGAGGGATATTAGGAATTATTTTAGCCTATTAATATTTTCTTTGTTTAGCTCTCTAAAGTTGGACTATGTTTCTGGACTGGGTTGACTTGTTACAGTGTTAGCTTGTTCTGTCTCTTTGTTTTGTCCACTTTTTTTATTCTACTCTTTAATTGGGGGTTTTTCATGTAACTTCTTCAGCCCAACCAAGAAACACAGCCCAACCTCAGAGAGCTCAAGTAAGGAGTTACAAGTAACTTCCAGTAGGTATCCTTTGTGCATCTTGAGTTATTGCAATAGCTACACCAAAGAAAGTCTTTTTGTCTTTAGGTTTTGAGGAATCCTTTTTTTTATTTCATATTGCCTCTTGGTTGTCACCATTGTTAAACCTTCAACAACCTTTGGTTCCAACATTACCCCTCGTCGACTTTCCTCAGCACGAATGAGAGAAATGATCTCATTTAGTGAATGAGTCTCCTCTTTGCTAAGGATCTGAACTCTAGCCTTGTTATAATCCGCATTTAATCCTTCAAGAAAGTCACACACTATCTTTTTAAATAAAGTTTTTTAAGATAGCAGCATCTTCTGGATACTTGGTCTCTATACATTTGTAGTGATCAAGTTATTGCCATATGTTTTGAAGGAAAGTGGCATATTCAATCACAATCTTATTTCCTTGTCTTGTGCTTCCCATCTTAATCTTAATTTTGAAGACTTGAGCAGCATGCCAATTTTTTGAGAAGATGTCTAGCAGCATCCCATATGTCCTTTACAGTAGATAAGAACATAAAGGTATCACTAATTTTTGGAGTTAAGGAATTTCACAACCATGACATTTGTGTGTTCCCTTTCTCTTTTATTATTTTTCTGACACTCTTGTCCAATAGTAAGAAATATAGTTACTTCTTTTAAAGATTGTGAGGTTACGAAGAATAATCTACAAGTCATTCAAATAGGGGCACCTAGCTTTCAGAGCTTAACAGCCTGCTGGGTCGTCTGCAAAGTAAAGGTATTACTTCGCCAAAAGAATTAACATGCAAGTTTGTGGCCCGAGAATAATTTCTATGCTAACCAAACTGATGTGGGTTGGAAGAAGAGGATGCTTGAAGGATTTAATCTCAATCCATGGACAAAGGTAAAACCAAGCTTAAAGCTTCAAAAACAGATTATATTCATCAATATATCCCACTCCCTTTCATTAGCTAGCTATTTATAAAGCAAAATAGAACTATCTAGAATATTAGAGGTATGCTAGCCCTTAAGCTATTAATAGTTATGATGTTCCTACAACATACTCCCCTAGCATAAAAAGAAGGCTCGACTCCGTCGAGGTGCTTTATTGGAAAAAGATAGATGTAGAAATTATAATCAATCCTCCGGGGTCAAATACTTTGCGTCTTTGATGCCCAATCATTACTCGCAAGCAGGCTAGGTGCTTGAGGGATTCACTCGAAATTGAAGCATCATTTGCATCTTCCTCATAGTCTGTTTGAGCTGATGTTCTACCACGTAGTATTTCAAAATTCTCAAAGCATGATCCCACAAAACATGCATCTATTTTTACAGAGGATTTTTGTAGTTGAGATCCACGTGCTAAGGCATCACGCAATTGCTTTAATCCACTCAATTTGTATATTAAATGATATTTGCCAATGACAAAATCATGGATATCCTGGCTAGCACGAGCATTCACAACCAGAATAATTGGGCCATCATCTTTTCGAAGACCAAAAATTTTTAAATGAAATTCAACATTTTGCTGCTCCTTTGCTTGCGATGCTAAAAGAAGCATCTTCGTCATTGCTTCTCCAGAAGAATCCTTGGCAAGAGTAAGAAAATGCCTCCCTATAGCTTCATCAACCGAAAGGCTAGTTAATTCAGCAATTTTCATATTACAGCCATTTATGAGACCATCAATATCCATTGCCATAATGGGTACATTTGATGTCTCAATCAAAGGAACTATTTCATTAGTAACTATTCGAAGCTCGAGGATTCCAGCAACTTTAAGATCATTCATATGAGAATCAATTGTTAACTTCTTGATTTTATTTTCGATGTCATTAACTGCCCCTCTAAGTATAAGCTACAGGGAGTGAATGGCATCCATCTCATGGTCACTCCATGACTGCCTCTTCGTCTTACCAGCATCAAGAAATGCCTTGAATGAGGATGTTAGATGCATCATCCTCTCATCGTCCACACCAACTTTAACCCCTGACATTGAATCCTCAAAGACAACTGTGTGTTCAGGCGATGCATTGAACTCCTTAAGAGCCCTCAAATAAGAATGTGGGAATGGTTTGGTCCTCTCACACTCACTTCTTCCAACAACTAGAGCATGAAAGAGTTATGTGAGTTCAAGAATCGAGATCTTATGTTCAGCATTAGGTCTTGGATCATTAGTCATTGTTGTATGTTTCAATCCACGATCCTTGATCCATATACATAATTTGTGGAGTCCACTTACAGCCTTTAACAACTGTGGAATAAGACTTCGAAACATTGCTTCCTTGTCATCCAAGAACTTTGCGGTTTTGTCAGGGTTCCAATCTGAAAATATGGTTGTCCCAATATCATCATTGGACTTGCCACTAGTCTTCTCAACAAAGTCATCCTCATCAATATCAAACAGTACTGCTCCAAGTGGAACAAGCTCAGATAAAGATTTTCTTCCGGTCTCATTATGGCAAACAACAGGACCCCAAAGCCTCTTACTCTTTTGCTACTGCTACTGATTATGCCCAGTCTTACCACTGTCATCATCTTGTCCTTCATTCACTATCACTGCCATGACCAGAGATGCTACTGAATTCATATTCTCCATATAATGCAGATGGCAACTGTGAGGGGCCCGGAGGGTACTGCCACAAAAACCGATATCAAATAGTAGCCTCTCACCTAGATATACCCTTACATGTGGAATCATGCTGGGGTGAGGGAAAACAACGGGCAAGGGATTGCCGAAGCAGAGCGGACGGAGTGTTGGTGCCGAAATCACGTTGGAAGGGCTTCGGATCATGGCTCTGGTTGTGAGATGACGCAGAATGGAGATTGCAGGTCTGGTCGCGATCAGCATCGATCTCACGTGGGCGGGAGGAGGGACTAGATTTCTCGTGGGCGGTAGGAGAGGCCGGGTTGAAGATTTGCGAACGGAGGTAATCTCGCCATAGCTCTAGGTCGAGAAGAAGGGTCAGATTATAGGAGAATGCAGAGGCAGAATCTGATGGATTGATTAGAGGGACAGCAACGGGCAAATATGAAGGTGAAAGCGGAGTTGGACGTGGTGGGGGTGTGTGGATCTGTGTGGAACCGGAGTCGCGGGAGCTGAGTGGGAGCGGCAGCGGGAGCGGAGTGGTGTTGGGGCCTGAATCGTGCTGGAGGGTTGGAGGATGTCTAGCAAGTTGCTTTCCTTCAACGATGTTAATATCAGCGACGAAGTCGGAATCGGCATCGGGCTGTGGATCTACTCGGGCCATGGGTACGAGAGCAAAATCGAGCTGTAGAGCGAGAATGGTCACGGGTTCCAGTGGCGGGTGCTGCGTTGGATTGCGGGAAGAAATGGAAGCTGATTCGATCTTTGAGAGCGCGTGTGAGTAGATGGCTGGAGATTGTTCGTTTACCGATGTGCAAACTCGTTCTAAGGAACGATTGAAATCGGAAAATAAGGCATCAATCTGATCAAGCGATGCTTCCACTTCGAGCCATTCGAAGGGCTTCGTGGCATCGATCACAGTCTACAGCCCTTCTTCTTTGGCGGCCATCTTCATGAGGATAGTGGGGCGGCGGATCTCACCATTGGAGTGGAGGATAGTCGTCTTCTTCGTTGTCGACCGTCCATCTCCTTCGGTGTAAATAATCGTCGACCGCCCATCTCCTTCGGCGGCGATCTTCGTGGACTGTCCATCTTATTCGGCATCGATCTTCGTAGACCGCTCATTTTCTTCGGCTTCGATCATCGTCGATAGCCCACCTTCTGTAGTCCATCGTTTTTCGCAAGCTCCGGGCTCTGATACCAACTGATGTGGGTTGGATCGTTGGAAGAAGAGGATGCTTGAAGGATTTAATCCCAATCCAGAGAACATAGGTAACACCAAGCTTAAAGCTTCAAAAATAGATAATATTCAGTTATTCACCAATACATCTCACTCCCTTACATTAGCTAGCTATTTATTAAACAAAAGAGAACTATCTAGAATATTAGAGGTATGCTAGTCCTTAAGCTATTAATAGTTATGATGTTCCTACATCACAAACAGATGTATAGCATTCCTCCATTCAGCTTCAAAGCTATACATGCATGCCATTACAGCCAGAACCACCAAGACTCGCAGTATATTACTAGATACTACACAGCATTCTAGCAGCCATATCAAGAATATCAGAATCCAGTCCCTTCCAACAAATCAGAATAGCTTTTGAAAAGAAAAAAAATTGCACACATTTCTGGATTAGGCAGCACCGGATTAGTTCATGCCATACCAGAAAAGAGGGGCATCGCCAGAGTACATGTGGTGCAGCCAACGAGTGAAGCCAACGACAGGACAATCCTCAGCTTCTGCTGTGACAGGAGAGGCCAGATGACGCCCCAGCTCACCGGCAGGGAGGACGAGATCGGCGCCGCGGAAATGGTTTCCCCGGAGCGGCCGGTGCCGTTGTCCTCGCCGGCGGCGTGTTCGGAGGCCGGAGCAGAGACATAGGCCGCACGGACAGTTCTTCGACCATAGCAGCTCCGCTGCGGGGGTCGATGGACGCAGGGGACGATTCTGCGATGCCGACAAAAACTCGAGGTAAGGATAAGGTTCCGGCGATGAAAGGAGAGTGGGAAAATCGCAGATTTCTGGTATTGATGTGAAGAGTAACAAGAGCCGAGGGATGGGGAGAGCGGGAGAGGCCCCGAAGCAGCCATGGTTTTCGATTTCGAAGTTTTTGAGGTATATTCCCTCCCTTCAAGCGCGGCCTATGTGGGGTATCGTCTTCGATTGCGTAAGATGGGGGTAGAGTCATTTGGGCCGTCCGTTTTCCGCTTGGTGGTTCACGTTTTTCAGTGAAGGTGGCTCACTGACTCTACTTCTTGTGCTCGGAGAAGTGGAGCCAGAGGAAGAAGTGGAGCCAGAGGAGGAAGTTATTGCGTACAAGTCAAATTAGGGAGGGATCTGCACCTTGGGATGTGACAAATGGGAAATTGTTCTGCACGGAGGTCTATGTTCGGAGATAAATTAGGTGCAGCTTCATCAGCAGTATCGAACAGTACCGAGCTACGGTACACATCAAAGAGGTGATGTGACGTATTCTGATTGGTCTTCTGACGGCTTGACGCCTGCACAGAATAATATATATTGACCAAAACTCTAAGGAAGGATGGGTAGGCTAACCCTGATTAAAAGTTTGATCTTGGGGATTAAAAGACGTGGTAGCTTTGTATTTAAAAATAGAACATGATCAGTAACTGATGGTAGGGTAGGTTATTGGGTAAGGATCCTAGTTTAAATTAGATTAGATACCAATATACCATAATTGCTTGTTGGATGTTGATATTAGCATTAAGTGGGTTATTTGTATTATCTTTTTTACTCAATCATTAGTTTTCTAACTTGTCAGGGAACTTATTTGTATTTTAGATGGATTAGAATTTCAAAGGAGATGAGCAAAAGGAATTATCCAAAATCAAAGTAGGGAAAGGAGAATTCTATAATACACATAATTGCAAGATAATATTGTTATATTATACATAACTTTATTGGATTTTCTTAAATTTAGGGGCTAAGAGTCACCCTTATCCCTACTCTAATTTCATTATTGACTGTGTATATATTTCTATAGCTTTCTTAAAGTAAGGAGAGTGTAGCACATCTCATCTTATTCCATATAATTTTTTAAATGAGTGCCTCTTATTAACCAATTTTTTACCTTATTAGATAAAAAATGTTATCAATAACCCAACTATTCTTGGACCTTAGATCCAAATTTACCTTACTTGATTATAGACATTTGAGTTCATAATCATTTTAACTACTCACTAAATTTTCTTAAAGCATTTTAGATCTAAATTATATTTTTTTTCTTATTCATAGAGTTTTTAACGTGTTTTGAGATTAGTCTTAAATAAATCTTAGTCCTAAATATTTTGGAACTTTTGTTTGATCAAAATTTTTGAGTTAAAACGATGTGAATGGCATTAAGTTTTGCATAGAGATGGATGTATAAGAAGTTTATATTATAGAGTAACAAGTAAGATGATTGCTTAGGTCAAGTTACTTTTTAATGGAAGGGAAGTTACCCATTTAGGAAGTAAGGAGAAAAAAAAAGTAGAATAAAAATGTGAGAAAAATAAGAGATGGCACAAGAAAAATGATTTTGCCCGCTAGCTGGTCAAAACTACATCTGATATTCAAACATGTAGAAAAGAAATATTACAAATCTATAAGTTATAAGGCTTTCTAACTCTTTCAGTATATAATATGACAATATTAGTATGTCATGAGTTAACTTTTGCTAATAAAAGATTGGAAGTGGGTATTTATAGGAGTTAGGCTAACTGGGTGTGGCCTTAAGGTAGATGATACCATAAGTACCATGTGTGGTAGTTTTTATTGACTTAATAAAGGGAATTATGATTTCTATGTGTGATGGCAATGTGTGGTTGAGTGGCATTACACCATTCTAAAGAATATTTGGGGCATCGTCATCGCGCCATATGTAGAATAACCACTTTATGTCTCCTTAGATAGAGAGTGGAAAATGGCGGTTATTCTAATATTAGAATGAAAAGTAATATCTTCTAGAATTGAAGGTAAGAATATGGTTAGAAAGATCAAAGAATGTTAGAGACATATCTAGGATTTTGAAACTATTCATGGCTGATTGAGTTTTATTTATTTTGCATTTAAACATTTTAGTTTGTTAGGTTCCTTATTTTATTTGTGCCATTTAGTTGTCTATAAATGCCTCTCTCTCTCTCTCTCTCTCTCTCTCTCTCTCTCTCTAAGAGGGGGAGGTGCTTTTTGGTTATTTGAGAAATTAGTTTTAGATTTTCTTGAAAACAATATGTAATTCCCAATTTGAGGTGAGGTGAAGGGTGAGGAATCATTGTGGGTCCAACACTTCATCAAGATTGAGTGTCAAAACCTATTTTCTCTTCCTTGTAGCTAGTCTTTCCCTATTATGTAAGCATTGGGATGGATTGGAGCACTTATCATTAGTTATGTGAAGTAAAACAAAATCTCATATTGTTAATGGGTTAAATTCCAGCCACAAAGACCTAGTTCTAAGTCTTCCCACCACTCCCCTTAGTTTTTCCTATATGGGTGTTGCTTCTTGGATAATTATTTATAATAAAATAAACTCTAGAATAAAACAGTTTGATAACAGTCTAGTTAGCCCATTTTCAATCACCAAGTTGATTGAAACTCCTCTTTTGCTTGTTGTTTGGGTCCTCCAATAGTTTCTTTTAGCCATAAGAAAATAATAGTCAAGATTTCAACCATTGTACCCCAAGTTCTCTATTCCCATTTTTTATTTCAATAGTACTCCTTTCTTATATATGGTCATCTACTTGTGTTCTACTTGTGGGTGACTAATTCCTAAAACAATAAAGCATTCTTGCATCAAATCTTGGACCTATCTTGGTCACCGATGAAGCAACTTATTGGAATCAATCAATATTTCTATTATGGAAAATTGAAAAACAAATTTAGGTGACTGCACCTTGGATAAATAATCCTTCCAACTCTAACTCGAGCTTTGCCTAATTATGGATTGCATCTGATTGGTTGGAACCATGCTGGGTTTTCTCTTCTTTTCTTGCACATTTTAGCAAGCAAAATTTTATGCATGTTTAATTAGTTCTTTATGAAGTTTGGAATGATTTATGATTGCATTACTGTTGAGTTGAATTTTACTTATTGTTGAATTTAAAATTTTGTCGAAATGGCGATAGCTTAAGAAAATCCAAAATTGCATGTTTCTTTTGTTTTGATGTCAATGACTCTTAAATGATCCAACCAACTTGAGGTTATTGCATCAATGGAATTCATATGGCATTAATTTGTGCAAACCAAGAGATATGCTAACATTTCATCAAAATTAAGGATTAAACAACTCAATCTCATATAGAGTTCTAGATGGATCATACACTATCATTGGGCTAGCATTTCAGATCTGATTAAAAGATAAAATGACAAGACTATTGATAAACATATGAATGACTAATTTGAAACATGCTAATATATATGTTACACTTCCATCTTGCTTTAGAAAAGAACTTTAAAAATAATCATTACGAAATAATTATTATAACTAAAACACAATAAAATCTATCTTATGGCAAAGACAAATTTCAAATTAGACTTATAATGACTCATAAATTTTTTTTATTTATTTGGGTTAAATTACGGGCTATTACATAAGGAGCATTAGTACATGTGCAATTTTGTATTTATATGTGAATTAGTCTACCTAAAATTGTAAGTTAAATAATACTTTTATGATTTGGTTTCAATTGTATTTTTATTGTGAATTAGGATGCTCAGGTGGATGAGTAGCTTTACTCTTAGAGATCGGATACCAAAACGAGCATATATGTGAAAAGGTTGGAGTAGCTCCAATGGAAGATAAGATTAAAGAGAATTATCTTAGATGGTTTGGACACATAAAAAGGTAGCCTTCCGATGACTCAATTAGGAGAGTAGATGTATTAGATTTGGCTTATGTTAAGAAAGATAAAGATATAACTAAAAGTACTTGGTTAGAAAATATTAACAAAAATACCTTTCTTTATTAGATTTAAATGAGCATTTGACTCTTAACATGACACAATAGAGAAAAAGGATTCATGTAGTTGATCCGACGTAGTGGGGCAAAAGCTTGATGTTATTATTGTTGTCGTTGTTTCATTTTTTTATTGTAAATTGACTTTGTTATGGGGAAATGGGATTGACTTACTGAGTTTTATACTCACCATATTATTTATAACATTTCAACTAAGGGTAAGAGTTTTGTGGAGTAGAACGAGTCTGGTAGACAACAAGAAGTCTGATTTTAAAAAGGTACTTATGATTTTGCAGTTTAGTTTGTATTTAAATTTTGCTTAAATATTATAACATGATTTTTTGTAATTTAATTATATTGAGAAGAAATTTATAATTTGAGCACTCTATTTTTTATTAAGGATTGATGATGGGACCCATTAGGGTTATTTTTTATAGGATAATAAGTATGCATCTTAAGTATTTATATTATAAGACAGCTGATATTAGGATTGGGGGATTTATCATGGAGTAGATTGTAGACAACCTTTATTAGGAAATCATGTGGAAAATTTATTGAGGAAGGCATGACTGGATGTATAAAAAATAGGGATTGAGTAGTTTAGTGCTGCTACCTCATTCATCTGACTAAGAATGATTGAATTTGATAGATCTAGATCCTTAACAAGTTGGCTAATGTAATTAGAATGACTTAATATTTATTTTAAGAACCATTAAGTTCTTTGGTCATGTCAACCTTATTATAAGAATAGATGGGGGATTTAATCATGTTAACCTAGAAACTCTTAGACATAAAATGTACCCTCCACTTTAAGCGGAAGATTATTCTTAACTTCTCATAGTAACATGTCAATTCTAAACTATTTTGTCTCTCTTCATGAGAGAGAATTCATATTGCCCTTCACTTCTATTCATGTCAACACCATTGGATTTTCTTCACCATGACCTCTTAGCACAGTCTCATTGCTTTTAGGGCGCATGGCATCTCCATCTTAAAAGAAAACCAATTCAATCCATTTTAGTGGCTAGCATAACCTCCTTGTCCTACTTTGCATGTCGGCTCCAGATATTACGATCTCCACCTCCATAGGAGGACTAATCTAGTCACATTCTTTGGCCTCTATGAACTTTTATGTCACTTTGTGCGCCACACCGCCACCTTAAAGTTACTTCATCTCTATCTCTAGAAGAAAGATTATGCATTTAATCAATAATATTCCCCAACCATTCAGCATTGTTTCATTCTTAGCCTTTCATGTTATTGCCTATCCTTTTAGAGTAAAACTATCCTATCAC